CTCATGGTGCAACCTGCTGCTTTTCCAGTCAAAGCAGAAAGAAATGTCGTTTTTCCAGCCCCAGATGGACCCATAACAGCAGAAACTCGACCAGGAAATAATTTCCCACTCACAGATCTCATCAGATGTTTGTTTTTCCCTTTCAAAGTGATGGTTAAATCTTTAAAAGCAACCTCAATTGTTAGCCTCTTCCTAATTTCAATATCTCTAGCCACTGAAATTACACCGGAGAAGGTGAAGTTCTTGTTCTGCTCCTGGAGAGCTTTCTCCTTCTCTATTTGGCCATACGCATATCTGAACATCTGGCTTTGAGTATGTAAATTCTTACCCTTTGGAGCATTTTTCTTAGAATTTTTACCTCCAATTTCTATATTGAAGCCTTCATGACTATCAGGGTCATCCTCTATGTCGTGTAACATCTTTGTGAGGTTTCCGTTCTCCTTTTTCTTTCCCTTCTTTGTTTGCTGGGATGATTCTGAAGCCATGGGTGGAAAGGCACCATCTGTTCCAGGTTTAGCTTGACCTAGACCCCTCAGCGGGTCTTGTTGCCTTTGAGATTTTACCTTTGAGAATGTACGTGATAAAGATGCTTGCAGTCCAACTGCATGCTTCCTGGCAATGTCTCTTGCAGATTTCCATTTTCCACGTGCTTGTGTTTCTCTTACACTTTGAACAGCCCTCTCTCTGGATTTTGCTTGTCTTTTCTCTCGTGTTGCAAGAACCTGGTCAGAGCAGTTGTATATAATGATGAGCAGGAAAGTTAAACCAGCAGCCTACATTGGTAAGTTTAATTGTCAAATCAGAATACTATATCTGAATAAATGCCAATGAAGAGGTTAAAGATATATATGTATGCTTCAGGAAGATTATGCAAGTTGTTTGATTATTTTGAGAAAAATATATATTGTCAACAATTGCCACTAAATGGAGTCATAGCTTCCAAATATTGCAGAGAAACTACAGATGGTTTTATTCCTGAGTTAGGATCAGAAAAACTTGACTGCTAAAGTCTCTCATACTCACAAAAAGGTTAAATGCTCACTCACAAAAAGTAGGATGCTGTATGCTGTAATATTTTGATTTGCTGACATTGGATCATAGGTTGCAGTTTGAAACACCATGCAAATCAGTCAGTTAGACGTTATATACTCTCCGAAGCAACTTATGAAAAGAAGCAAAAAAGCTTCAAATGTGCATTGCCATTCTTTTCCCCAACTGTGTTAGGCACATGCATATGTCTTTTCAACTTCCAAATACCCGCCTGACCTCCCTAATAGATAGTTTGAGCTTCTAGCGAGTTACCACACTCCAGAATCTATATTGCCATTCTTTCAGCATTGCAAAGACATGCATATGGATTATGGTGTCTATTCATAAAGGACAACAATCTTGTTTACCGTCTAATCCTAGCATATTCCTAAGCATTTAAAGAAACAATACCAACTAGGAGTTTGAGTAATTCAATTTCGCAATATTTTGCAGAGGAAAACTTACGTTGTTGGGCTGTAGAACCTGTCCTGCAGATATGTCTGAAACAAAAAAAAAAAAACGATGGCATCAGTGACACAAAATCCAACAGAGATGATATCGCATGCTTTCAGTAGAAAAAGGAAATAAATAAATGGGCTAATGGGAACCTACAGATGCCAAGGGGAAAATGCAAACTTGTAATTATATGACTGAGAGATAGAAGTTCTAGGAGAATATCAATACCCTGAAGTGCAAGGACGTTTTTCAACAGTAGATGGGCAATATGATCCTGCTGAACAGAAAACGTCACTACTAGTCACAATGTCAGCCCAAATATCAGCCCCTCCACACGTATGGTTTGTAACACCAGTAGGTAATTGATAACGGTATCTGCAACAAAAGTTCTGCTAATAAAATTAATGTGTGCTAAGTAGAAGAAGCTTGAGGTAATGCTTTATTGAGTTTAGTTATAAAACAATCCCTTTTGTAAAAAGCAATGAAAAAAAATAGAAAGTTAAAACAAGAATAAACTCACGGGTCACGCATCCCAGTATTTTTATTGAGTTTCGCAAGTGGGCAGTAAGATCCCAATGGGCATGCTTCAGCAGCAAACAAGTAAAAACAAATGAAGTCAGGAGCTTTTTTATTTTTTGGTAGGCGATCTATATAAAAGAAGACGAGCTTTTTCCTCCACTAGAAACATTAGTACTAAAAATTCAAAACAGAAAGGACATATGCATTATAGTGAAGCAACTATGCATAATGAGGGATGTCAATGAAGAAACTATTACATAATCACTAGTAGTTCAGTTAAAACATAATCAATTCTCGAGTCTCCATACACTTACGAATCATGCAAGTAATACCACGAGGGCAAAAGAAACCCTCACAACAAGCTGCACATGTCTCGGTTCTATCAGGAATGTCCTTGGAGTTTTTGAGATCAACCTTCCGGTCTTTACCAACACTACATGCCCATCCTGGCTCACATCCAGAAACCCACGAGCTTAAATTACAATTCTTATCAGGCTTCAAAAAAATGGTCCCCTGTAATCCATCATCCTGCTTAGAGAAACTCTCAAAGTTAATTTTATCTCAGTTGCTGTGCACAACCGCTGCATCATATCTCCTATATTCCCATACATTAGAAATGTAAAAAGGAAGTCATATATAAACAGAGAGTTAGAGATATCAATTTGGTTGAAGTAACCTTGGGTTTTTCTGCCCCCCCTTAGATCTGCCACTAAGTCCACTGATCAAGAAAAAAGCATGGAAGGGCGTATCCCACTTCAACTCGCAAGTGAGTCCACCCAGCGGCGTGGCCAGAATTTAAGGTTAGAGTGTGCAAAACTATAGATTAAAATAATTTCTTTTAAATAATTAAAATGGGTAGTTCAACATCTCTGATTAATTTTTTATTATTAAAATAATCTATAAATTACGAATAAAAAGTATTCTAAAAACAATGGAAAACAAAATACAACAATGACAAAACATAATATAGATAAAAAAAATAATGATAAAGGAGAAAAAGATGAAATTAACTTTAGTTCTAATGAAATTACTCAAGTCCAATTATTTAATATGTAAAGTACCGAAATTTTAAAATTAAAAAATTAAAAAAATAAAAGAATAAGAACAATCAAAATAGTAAACAGAAACTAAGAAAAATCATAAATTGATTCAAATATTACATTAAGGTTAAAGCTTTTTTAGAAGGAAAATTATTGGTATACCCAATAAACCAACACTCATCTCAACACCCAAGTGTTTTGAATAGTAAAATGAAGAAGGGTAAATTTGTAATTTTACTATTTAAACAACATGGGTGTGAGAAAGGATGTTGATTTCTTGGGTGGATGTATTATTGTTCTTTTTAGAAATAGGGCAATTAGTGGAAATAAATTAAATTTTCAATTAAAATAATATAAAAATAAATTAAGTATACAAATCTAGATTTGCCTTATATGAGATTGACATAAAAATAAATATAAAACTTAAACCCAAGGTTAAATATTTGATGGCAAAGTTAACAAATAATCATAGAATAGGTATAGAACTAGACAAAAAGATGATTAATATAACTTGAAATTAACCATGATTCAATCAAACATTAGAAATCAAACAGTATAAATATTAATTAACAACTACACTTAAGAAAATTAAAAGTTAAATGATAAGTAATTAAAGGTCCAAATCCAAAACAATTAGCCATTACAATAGTAAGTAATTGCTGAAGAACGTCACAATCAAAGCAATTAAAAGTTTATTACTATAAAAGGTGTTTTAACGGTAGAGTTATACTTTGAATTGAAAAAAATGAAATAATGCATTTAGTCGGTAGTTAAACTACAGTATAATTGACAATTAAGTTAGATTTGCTTTTTTTACCCTAATATAATTAACATATGTACTATATTTTTTTATTTTATAGGTAAACTTAACATTTTTTAATATTTTAGGTCCAGCACCTCCCTTAGCTCTGCCACCACGTTCACTGATCAAGAGGAAGTGCATTTACAGGGGCGCATGCCTTCCCCTAGCTCCGCCACTAAGTCCACTGATCAAGGGAAAGTGCTTTTATTGGGAACCACGCCCTCCTCTAGCTCCGCCACTGAGTCAACTGATCAAGGGAAAATGCATTTGCAGGGGCCCATGCCCGCTCTCAGATCCGAGATTGAGTCCACCGATCAAGAGAAATTGCTTTCACCAGAGCCCATGCCCTCCCCTAGCTCCGCCACTGAGTCCACTGATCAAGGAAAATGCACGGAAGGGCGTATCCTGCCTCAACTCAGAAGTGAGTCCACCCAGCGGCGCAGCCAGAATTTAAGGTCAGAGTGTGCAAAACTATAAATTAAAAGTTTTAATTTTTTTTAAATAATTAAAAAGGATAGTTCGATCTATGATTAATTTTTTATTATTAAAATAATCTATAAATTACAAATAAAATAAATAGATAAATAATTAATTTATGAATATTTTAATAAATTTAAGACATCTTTTAATATTCTATAATAAAAATTTATGAAACTAAAATGATTTTTATCAAATGGTAGGTGTGAAAGGAATCCCTCATAAGGAAAATTTTCCTTACAGACAATGATACAACGTAACAATTCCTCCATAAAATATAAAACTTTTTTCTTTTTTTTTTTAACTTTTTTTAATCCTGGCCGCCTAGCTTGTGATTGGACGCACCAAGTCTCCCTCATCAATTATTGATAATTAGTAATTAATCAGAAAATAAAAACACTACATTCAGTATTAGGTGTAATCAATTAACCAATCTGCATATTTTCTTTTAACAGTCTTGCATCAATATGTCTTCAGCATATATTATATTCTTCTCCTTCTTTTTGCTATAGACTTCCAAGCAAATCTCTTCCCCAAACTATTGAAACAAAGATGGGTGCGAGTATCCTTGCCTCTCTCGTAGATGCAGCTCTGTCGAAGGTGATTGCTGTTGCTTCTGGTCAGTTCACCTCTCTTGTAGATGCAGTTGTGTCGAAGGTGACTACTTCTGCTTCTGATCAGTTCAATTTAGCACTGGGATGGAACAATGATCTGACGGAGTTTCGTGATAAAATGAAGACGCTCCGAGGTTTCTTGCAAGATGCTAGTGAAAAGAACGTCAGTGGCCACCTTGATCTGAAGTCGTGGCTCCAGGATCTTCGAGATATTGCCTGCAAACCTTGGGGGACTAACCAACCTACAAACATTGCCATTGTTTTTTGCAGGTACAACAAAAAGACGTAAAATTGAAGAATTGGGAAGCTTAAGAGAACTCAAAGGAAGACTACAGATCTATAAGCTTGAGCTTGTTACAGGCAAATCAGAAGCAGAGGGAGCAAAGTTAAAAGACAAGGCAGTTGAGCATTTGGGATTTGGTTGGTCGGGAGGCAAAGGCAATCAAGATAAAGATGAAGATGTCTTAGAAGGCCTCCAACCCCCCTTAAATATAAGAAGATTACGTATTGTTGGCTATGGAGGTAGAAAGTTGGCATCATGGATGTTGTCACCCAACAATTTGGTGGATCTTCAGCAGCTTTATGTTTCCTCCTGTGATGAAGTAACTAGTTTGGGTGATGGTGATGGAGCACTTACGTCTCTCAAAAAATTAACCATATTCAGGTGTGGTAAGTTAGAGAGAGTTTTGGTTAGTGGCTCATCATCCTTGGAGGAACTCGTGATTGTGGATTGCTGCGTGATAAATAGCATAGGAGATAGCCTGTCAAGCTACACATGTCTCAAACAATTATATCTGCTAAGTTGTCCAAAATTGAAGTTTATTCCAAGTCTAGAAGGACTTGTCTCTCTCAAAACAATAAATATTACTGGTTGTGATGGATTAGAGCGTCTACCGAGTGGGCTCTCATCTTGCACTACTCTGGAGAAATTAAAGATAAGGAGTTGCTCTAATTTGGTTTCTATTCCTGAAGAATTGAAACAGTTGCAGT